TCTGCACCGGCCTGGCCACCCCCACCTCCTCCTCCTCCTCCTCCAGCAGCTGGTCGTCCGCCTCATGCCTCATCTCAAATTGGTCTGATTTAAATCTCCGGCCACCTGTGAAGAAAAGGTGTGGTTAAAGCTCAGAGCAGCTGTAACAGGGATGTTCATGTTACTCTGCCTCCATGGCTACCTCTGTGTATTTCAGTTTCTTCCTCCCATAAGCTGCTGTAGCTACAGTGAACCGTAAGCTTGGAAAAAAAATGCACAGTCCACTGTGTGTCTGACCACGACCCAAGGTCTGGAACCAAAGGCATTAGCAAGATCTAAGAACACCACGTGCATTGCTAACTGGATTTGATTCCAGATCATGCTTGCGTGCCCATGCATCCAGAAAAACCTGCTCTTCCAGCTTTCTGCAGTGAGGTGTTAATGAGCTTATTTATTTCTAGGTACCTCGACAACCTAGGTACCTCTGTTGTGTTTATATTGCTCCACTCGCTGCTCACACTGCACATAATGTTTTGGAGTCGCCTGTTGAAAACAGACAACCTCCCACATCACAGTGAGTGACTCAATGCTGACTTTAGTCTCTGGATGGGATTTGTGTAAAACAGCACAAACAGAAAACTTCAACCACCTTATTCTCTAATGCAGCACATGGATATAAACATTTCCTAAACTCCTGCAGCTGTTAAAGCCCAGCCCAGAAAAGAGCTGTTACGGGGCAGCTGGAGGTTTACAGTAAATAGACCGAGCCATCAGTCAGTGCTGTTCTACAGAGCCAGATTTAACCTGTGGACTAGTGAAGCCTTCGCTCTTCTATGGCAGCAGTTACACTTCACTGATCAACAGCTCTGGTTACATGACCTCAGGAGATTTCAGGAACACATATGCGACTCTTCTTGACTCACCTGACAGGTCAGTGTATGCTTTAGTCATCTCCGGCAAACGGCCTGCAGACATCAGTGTAAATAATATTAAGTTTTAATTGGAAAAGGATGAAATCACTGTAGGTCTGCTTCAGCCACTGAACCTGTGAATGGGTGGCACCCTCTCGCATGCAATCACGGGATTCATCAGCTGACTGAGGCTTCATCTTTGTTCAGATCAGACATCGATGGACCAGAGGTCATGCTAGACTTTCTTGTTGTCTGTCACTTTGATGGACAGGGTCATAAATATTCTTCATAATTTATTATTACACCAACTTAATTTTCTTTTTTTAAACGACAAGACGTTTAATTTACTATTTAGTATACAGAACAAGCTTATGTGCAGCGTTGAGTCTTAGTTGTCCTTCATCCTCCACATCAGTTCCTCTTTTTCCACCTCCTTTAACACCATAGGAATTACTGGGATTTTTAGGAGGCTTAAAGTTGGGCTAAACTGCCCTCTCTGTTCTATTCTGCCAAAGTGATGGACAACCTTGAAATTTTCCAATCATAATTAAAAAACATTCAGTTAACGTAACCTCTGTGCCAGACATGAGAGAGCTGTGCTGGCAGCAGCACAACAACACCGATCTGTTGCTGCTGAAGTCATCATCCCAGGGGAGACTTGAAAACTGTTGTGCGATGCCTTCGGGACAGTGATGGGCTTTAAGTGAGGCACAGACCGGTGATGTGGTGAATTCAGTGTCCCACAGTTCTCTGTCCAGCACAGGAGCTGCTTGAGGGAACACACTTCTTCAGTGCACAGTAAAACTGCAGTAAAGCTGAAAGTACTACTCTCCCAGCCAAAAATAGCCAATTTTGAAAACTAATTAGATATGTACAGTTATTTAGTCAGCAAACATGTCAGACAGGATCTTGTTCTGGCTTCTCCAGTGTGAGGATTTGGTGCTTTTTTCTGTGGGATCTATGGGAATTCAGGTTGTTGACCAGGAAGAAGAATAAAGAACTCTGAAGTGTAGGAACTCCTTACAGTCATGTTTCCTGTCGACAGCCGTCACCTCAGTGACTTCCTCACATTATTAGCTTACCAATACAACAGCAGTGAATGAGCATATTTTCCTGCTTCTCTGACAGCAAGCCAGTGGATTCCAGTGGATTCCTGTATTCTCATTTTAAACTGTTCAGCCCTCAGAGAATGTACGAGTCTGGCCTGGTTGCAGCCACAGCAAACAGAACTGCTGACCTACATGGGAACAAGTGCGTAAACGTCCGGACACACAAGTATGGTGTGTGTCATAAATGACTTAATGAATATCACTAAGGATTCGTTCTACAGATAAATGTACAAGTACTAGTATGTCACATGCCTGCTGCGGTCTTTAGCATGCTAAAGACCAAAGTAGGGCTCTCTGCAGATGCAACAGCACAAGCAGCACCAGCTTCTCGCAGACCAAACACTCACGATTACAATTCACCCATGGAAACTTTATTAACCTGTGTCAAACTGTGGATTAGCACTGCTGGCTGAGATCCAGTCAAAAGTCTTCCTGCACACACATTCAGCTCAAACTGACAGCTGATAATATTTCATGGTGTCATACTGACACAGCATGCTAGAGGTTTCATCATCAAGCAGCTTGTACATAGCTAGCAATTAGCGGAAAGAAACTAACTCACTACAAGTAACCTGACAGCCTTGGGAAGATCAACAATTACCTGGCTGTCATAATAATTAGCTGGCCTCAGACTGTGACTGAAAAAGTAACGCCAGACAGTGTGGTAGAAGTCAGAGAATTCAGAGTTAGCTGAACGTCTAGGAACTTGCCATGAGTGTCTGCTTGGACCACACACACTATCTGCAGCCGGTCACTGCCAATTCTGCAAAGATATTATGTGTCAAGCTCCATTCAAGCACTGGCATATTTAATGTTTACATGCTTCTCTGGTGGGGGGGGGGACCTATCACAACACATCTCGAGCCCACAAGAGACCCTTTTTTTGGCTTGGCATACAAAATTATTGTATGACCATATCTATTAAAAATCTGAACCGACTCAGCCGCTTCCTGTCTGCCCTTGACTGCTGAAACATTAGTTTAAATAGAGTCACATGTACGGATGTGCCACATAAGGAGAAGTGTTACAGAAAACATAACTTGTGGTTTAGTGTTTTAGCTGTATGAGAAGCCAAGTCAAAAGTTGTGACTGATAACTCAGTCATAAGTCAGTAATACACAACTAAAGGAACTAAAGGTGCCAAAGAATGGGACAGCGTTCCTATGGAAGCTCAGTGTACGAGTTAAATGACGTTTACCCATTATTTGGCCCCAGAGAGGGGGGTGTCAGGCCAGGCCATTATAAATCTTTACAGTCCCACAATAAGCAGCACCATTTTCCAGACCTAACCTGCCCTTTAACACAAAGCATCCTGAACCCTATCCCTACCCAAGTAAAGATCAGATACATGACTTGACCAACAGCATCTGCATTGTATTTGCTCAGATTGTTTTATATTTAGGCTACTCTCATTATTCATTAAGATAACATTTCATTTGTAGCACAGAGCACAGTTAATACTGCCAAGGCTGTCCGGCCTAATTAAATCATACTGATAGCTACTGCAAAGTGTTCTCACCTAACAAATTAGACAGCAAATGAAGTTAGACTACTGGCTGCCCACTGTTAAATAATAATATTAGTGGTAGAGGAAGTACTAAATCTATGTACTTAAGTAGTAACACCGGAGTTCAAAAATACTCTGCCACAAGTAAAAGCCCTGCATTCAAAATGTGACTTAAGTCAAACTACAAAAGTATTTGTACAAAATATACTTAAAAGGACTAAGTTAAAGAATGGCACAGTTAACATTAATGTATATCATATTACTGGACTATAAATAGTGGCGTATTATTGTGTACATCACAATTAATGTTACAGCTGGTAAAGGTAAAGCTAAAGTTAACCTATAAGCTTATACTTTGAAGTACTTTACATACTGCTGTGTAATCTCCACCAGGGACCAATAAAGTCTTGTGATTACAGTTGTTAGGTATTTTTAGTCAGATAGATATTGGATAGATACTTTATGCATTAGAAATGTTTAGTGGAGATAGGATGTCTAGTTAGACTGTTAAATGCTTAGTCATGCTTATGAGTTTCTACAGGGTACATCTGGTCAAGGATACTAGAGAGAAGAGTTGATGACTGTCAGCAGACAGGGTGTTTAATATTATTATTACGACGTGTATAACTGTAGCCTTAGCCATAATATGTTCTTATGTTTAAGTCACGACATGTTACTAGAGGTCGTGAGAATGTTTTTAGCTACACACCACTTAACCAACAGACACACACACACACACACATTGATTTGCTTCATGTTTTGACTACTGCTATGACCAGCTGCAAAGCTGGTAACAGAGACGTCTCGGTTGACGTTTCTGTGTAGTATGGGGCTAGCCCAACCGAGGGGATATAATGTATAGGCCTGGTGGGTTCAGGGTCTTTCATCTTACATCTGCCTGTGAGCAGTATGGAGGTGAAAGATACCTGAGTGTGTAATGTTAATTTTACCTGTGATCCTTTGGATAAATCAGCACTGTTTTGAAGTTACTTGGACTGTCTCGTCTCTCAGAGTTAGCATGGTAACAAGAACCAAAGACCAACACGGTGTATTTTATTGAATTCATTTCAGTCTGAAATGTAACTAGTAACTAAAGTTATCAAATAAATGTAGTGCTCTCTATTGCTGCTGGAACACAGGACTTACCCCATTGTGGGATCAATAAAGTCCTACCTTACCTTACCTGGTGTGTATAAAGTACAATAATTTGCTATAAATGTCGAAGTACGGAGTATCAGAAAATTAAAATACTCAGATAAAGAACTGTGCTTAAGTGCAGTACTTGAGTAAATGTACTGTTACTTTCCACCTCTGAATATTAAGCTGGCGTTGGCTAACGGTCAGCTACTAGCGTTAGCTAGCTGCTAAGTGTCCGCTATTCACAGAGCAATTTAACAACTGTTAGAAACAACACAATCATTCATGATTAGCTCGAAGGGGCTAGCAGTTACCTTAGCAGGACCGCTAACAACAAACACATTC